ACATGGTAAGGGTATACATGACATTCTGATTCTATCTGGTTTAAAATTTAGTCTATATATTTTAAATGAAATTAAATTCCACAAATATTTTACTATATGATATTTATCTATGACATGCTAGTCCAATTACTGTAAATGAAACTTAATTATCAGAGAAATTCCTAGCAAAGAAATGCCTTGTGACAAAAAAGAAAACACTGATTGCTACCTAGTACTTGTAAGACTTTGAGGTATAAAGAATCAAAATTCTACTTTCTAAAATATTCTAGTGATGGATAAATCCACACTATCAGGGGGAAAAAAAAACCTGCAGATTTTCTTACAACCATAACATAACAAGCTTCTCTTCTGTTAATAAGCCATCTTTCCTAAAGAGTATTTGATATATAATTTGATCATATCAGGGTCAGTGCATATATTCTAAAAGAATTCTAAAAGAGCTTCTTACCATATCATATAAAAGCTGAATCACAGGTATAGCAATTTAATCAACACACCTTCTGCTGTAAGCATGTCACATTATATACTGGCTAAATAATAAGCATGACTTGTAAAACTTCAAATTTCCATTAGAATCCTAAGGATATCAGTTATAAGATTCTTTGACCAATGTATGTCTTCAGAGTTTGGGCTTTAAGATCTTAAAAAATGATTCATTTTTTTCATTTCAAAGTAATTAAATATTCTAAGGGAGGTCTTTACTCATTTGCCCTATGATCTTTTAGAAAAGTTGTCATTTTGTTAAAATACTGGACCTATGCTTAATCCAAATTTGCATTGACTCTGTTTCAGTGTATTCATTAATGGTGAATCCAATTTCTGAATTTAAACTTTTAATTTGCAATTTTAAAAAATCTACTTTCTAGGTATGCATTATAGGCAGTGCTCAGAGAACCAAAGAAAAGTGGTCAACTTACAAATGAGGAAAGTAAGATTACTCTTTAAAAGTTGAAGCAATAAAAGCTAAATTATCATCTGTGGAAGTTAACTGTGGATTGAAATATGCAACATTGTTACCAAGGTGAAAAAGTTGTAATCTCCACAAGACAGGATTGAAATGCCATTGCCATTTAGAAAACCAGAATGCTTGAAGCTCTTCAGAATACCTACAAGTATTTCTATACTTACCCACTGAGAATCAGTGGTTTTGTTTCTAAACCTGTTAATGCCTGTTTCCTTGTAGTCATGCTGACACCTGTTTCTTTTCATCTATCTGTTCAGTTATTCAAGAAATATTGCATGTTAAAGATACTAGAATAGAGTGCTGACCATAATATTTTAGTGGGGAAATGGCATAAATAGAAAAAAATGCTAACCGGGAATATGATCTGTACAAAAAAAATGAACAGATAAATATTTTAGTTATGAGAAAGGAATATTCTCTTTTCTAATAGAACACACTAGCTTTTTGGTTTATACATCAACTTCTTGTGACTCTCACTCTGACCTTGGTGCAGTGACCAAGATAAATAGAGAAAAAGGTTGAAGAACCGTCTCTGAACTGTAGTCATTCCAGTAGGACTGATATGCTAAGAGATCTTGCTTGGCTGTTAGCTGGCCTCCCCAAATCATCTCTCACTGTGGCTTCCCTTACATTAAAACAAACCTTTTAGGCCAACATGGGCACACTAAGTCCTTTTACCCTCATGACAACACGAGACCAAGTGCATTCCATTCATGACCAGACATGGATTCAGAATGAATATAACTGACACAGACCAGGCTCCTAATGACCTTCAGATGCCAGTGTCAGTCCATGGTTCTGAAGGAAAACTGACCTCTAGTTATATGCCATATTCATCTGGAATGCATTACTAAATGAAGACGTAGAATGGAGATGATTTTTGAGACTTTAGGAGCCAATACTGTGGTGGATAACAGAGATGTCTGAGGCAGGAGAAAGAACTAAAACAGTTTGCCTACAAGGCTTAAAAGTCTGTGATGCTACAATTGACACTTCCAATGCTAAAATGAAAGTTCACTTTTGTTTCATGCAAACATGTTCTTGTCTAGAGGAGAGTATTAGAAAAAGCTTAGATGAACTAAGCTCTTAGTTAACTCAATGAACATTTAATCCAATAAGGCTGAAAAGCCATGGAAAGGTTTATGGTCCTGAGATGGTAACTGAAATATCACATAGCTAGAATGACTCTCACCCACGTGGCAATCTAAAGTTCTGCAGTAGAACATTGACATTGTGAAAACGTATGTCCATGGTATTACGCATCATGGTTAATATTTTATTTTGATGCACACTTGGGTTTCATGAGGCTTGGGAAGACTATTATTGTTTAGAACAAGACTCTTTCACTATACCTAATGAATCCCTTTCTAATTCAATGACTGCCTCAAAAAAGTTAGTCCCTCACCAGAACAACATAAACTGCCCTGCAGAGATTTGCTTTGCCATTTTCTTTTGATTATCCTAAAATTACATTCTCCTACTTTGAGTTTACCAGAAACCTAATTATTCCAGAAGACCTAACTTTAGATACCCCTTAAAGTCACTGAAGAATCTCATTTTAATTTCAATGGTAGAAATGTTTAATTACTCTCTGCCCCAAGCTCAAATCAATTAATTCAAAGTATTTTGAGGTTTGGTTGTCACATATATATTCAGTTCCACCATTAAGCTTAAATGTTCTTTTAAATTTTTTTATTTACATTTTTAATACATTCAATCACATTATTTAGCTTACAAGGTGATCATTTCAATATGTGAACATTTCTCCCCAGTCCAGTTGATCAAAATAGAACAATACTACCTCCCTGTCTCAAAAATGCTGTCTCCGTATCCCTCCTCCAAATAATAGTTTATTTGAATATTCTGTGATTGTCACCAGATTTAGGGATATTTGGGGGAAACTCTGTGGAATTCATAATTTTTTCAATGTAGCAAAATTAAAACCTCTGATAAATCTCATTTCAAAGGAAAAGCAGTGTACAAAGCATCTAAGTTGTCTTTTAGGTCAGGAACTATGGAAGTCTTCTGCTGAGTGGCAAAACAAAATTGCTCAGATCAACACAAACTAAAACCTAAAGGGCAGTGTGGTTTTGGAGTATTCCCACTGTTAAACCCATGCTAAATTCCACTAAAACCATCTAAGAGATTGTATTACCACTCAGAAAATATTACAAGTGACATATCAAAATAAAGATGTACATTTAATTATTATCAAGAAAGAGGAGTATTGTTCTCATGCAAGATGCAGATTTTGAAAAGATATGATGGCTTTGGTCCACTTTTCTAGAGGCTAAAAAAATACATACAAATAAACTATCTTTAAACACCTTTTATTTAAAATGGACCCAAAGATAACCAAGTAGAAATAATGTTAATTGAAAAGAAAGAAGGGATTCAGAAATAATGATATAAACAAATGGTTGTTGAAGGGAACTATTTCTCTATAGAAGTATATCAGCTAATAAAGAAAAGATGACAGAATTATTATATCATTATTCTGAAAACTTGTAATGAAATAAATCTAAGGCAAAGATCATCAGTTCTCGTTAACGTCATTGACAACCAGATATCATACTTTTTGAGAAAACATACAACAGTATCTATGGAGTAGTTCCTAATTCAGATTAAGTATCTAACTCATACTAACAGTTTACAGGAACACAGAACACTGAGAAAAATGACAAGAATGTGGAAATGCATTTAGCAACATTTTAAATGTAGAAAATTACAAGACAGGTGACCTGGTTTCTTCAACTAATGAATTTACAAAGGGGGCAAAAAGATGGAGGGCAGAAACCTCTAGATTAAAAGAAACTTGAAAGACTAGCTGATGATGTAATGGTTACATCACTGGACTCCCACATAGAAGACTGTGGTTCAAGTCCCAGACCCAGTGGCTTAAGATTCATGCCAGGTGCATGTGCATGCATGCCCAAAATCCCAAGAGGAGAATGGAGGAAGAGTTGTGGCATGGCCATTCTCCCGGGGGGGGATTTCTCCCTTTCTGGCCAGTGCACACACCCAAAAGCAAAAATCTATCTTTAAAAAAAAAAAAAAAAAGGAAAGAAAGAAACATCAAAGCCAAGTTTATTTAGACACTCATTCAAATAACTGGAAATGAATAGGTGAAATAAAAGTATGTGGACAATCATCACATGCGATGATATACAACAATTATTGTTACTTTTTTAAAAGGCATGATAATAACACTGGGATTATATTTTGAACATAGATCCTTATCTTTTAGTGTTATTATCAACATTTTTTATTTTTGGAGAGGTTTTTCACTATAGGGCACATGCCCTCCCCACATAGTCAGAGAGAGACAGAGAGACAGAAAGCGAGAAATCACCCCCTAGGGGGGGTGGCCATGCCACAATCCCTTCTGCTCCATTCTCCTCTCAGGATCTTGGGTACGCACGCACACGCGCCCAGCGTGAGTTTTAAGCCACTGGGTCCAGGACATGAACTGCAGTTGACTACATGGGAGTCCAGCGACATAGCCATTACTCTAACTGCTGGTCCCAACATTTTTTTTTTTTTCAAATTTGCCAGAGGGTACATGGGTTCACTAGCAAGAGATGAAGAATCAGAAAGAAGAAAAAGGATGTCCCTATCCTCCCATGGGCGAATAGCTATGCCACAATCCCTTTTCCTCCATTCTTCACCTGGTCAGAATTTTGAACACACACAGCAGAATGCCTGGTAAGTTTCTCAAGCCACCAGATCTGAAACTCAAATCACAGAGTTGATCATGTGGGATCCAGTTGCCTCAAGCCACCAAGCCATGGAGCCAGCCCAAGTACCAACATTTTTAACAGATGAACTATAAAATGTATGAGATTTGCTCCATAATAATCTGGTTGGTGGGAAGAGAGTAGTTTAGATGAAACAAGAGTGAGCCGATAGTGCTATTGCTGGGTATTGGGTACACAAGAGTCATCATAGCATTCTAATTTTGTATGTGTTTCAAAATTTTCAAAATAAAATGCTAAATAAATCAAAAAGTTGGGAAAAAGTGATGGAAAAGACTTACCTTGCTGGATATCCTTCATTTCTAAATGTAAACTAGATATCAAGATTCCTACAGTTTGAGATCGTTTTCCATCCAATAACTTGATGATCTGGAATTTGAACAAATGAAATGAATAGAAGCTCAAAGGACCATGAAATCTTTCAGAAAGTATACCGAAAGCATTGAGAGGTTTAGATACTGTACACTCATTGGTGAACTGAAATGATACTACGAGCACTCTACTTAAAATAATACTTAATCAAAAAGTAACTTAACTGCAAATGGCTATGTCGCTGAACTCCCACGTATCCGACCACGGTTCAAGTCCTGGACCTGGTGGCTTAAACTCACGCCGGGCACGTGTGCGTGCCCAAGATCCCGAGAGGCGTATGAAGGAGAAGGGATTGCAGCATGGCCATCCCCCCTGGGCGGTGATTTCTCGCTTTCTGTCTCTCTGTCTCTCTCTGTCTTTCTGGCAAGCACAAGTGCCCTATAGCAAAAAACTCTCCAAAAAAAAAAAAAAAAATTTACCACAACTGGAATTAAAGACATTTTACAAAATATAGGGAAAACACCACACAAAATTCCATCAGCCTAATACCAACACCAACAATTTTTCTAGTATCTGTTTTGTTTTTTTGTTTGTTTTTATATTTGCCAGAGGGTACTTATGCTTGCCAGAGAAAGAGAGACAGAAAGCAAGAAAGCATCCCTCTGGGGTATGATTATGCCACAGTCTCTTCATCTCTCCCTTCTTTCAGGATTTTGGGCACACATGTCTGGTATATTTTTCAAGCTACTGGGTTTGGTACTTGAACCACATGGCCAGCCAACCATCAGGCCACAGATTGGCCCACTTTCTAACAACTTATCTTAGTCATAATGGCAACATGATGTACAGTGTTATGTTTTTAACTTTTACACCCATTGGAATATACTCATTCGTTACCTCTTAGGTTACTTCATAGCCTCTACTCTTTTTAGTGATGTCATTTATTGACTGGTTTAGGGGGAAAAACATTCCAATCTTGAGTCAGTCACTTACCAGCCATATGAACTTGCAAACAATCTCTATAGATTTGATTTCTGGGTAATAAAGTAAGGCAGCTTATATTTATTTCATATATTTATTTTAGAAATTAAATGACATAACATATGCAACCCACCAAATATAGTTCTTGAGATATATTTATTTATTAAGTAAATTTCCCTGTTGTAAAGAATCCAGCTGTTACTTATTTGATTATCACTATAAAATATAATGCTTTGTACACTAAGCTTTAATTGCTTAAAATTATTCTTTTATAATAATGTATATGTAGATTAAAACTTTTACGGTCCTTTTAGAAACTTTAAAAACCTTATTGTCAATTATTTGAATCTTTACGAATGTTCCATGAAGAGGTCTACAGTTTTGTGTTTCTGTAAATCTAGTAAAAGCAAACCAGCTCCTAAAAAACATATCACATGGGTCAGCAGATAATGTGGAGGTTAAGGTGGCTGGATCTCACATGACCAGTAGGGCTGCTCAAGTCCTGATCAAAGCAGCTTGAAAAACACACCTGGCACATGTATGTATGTACCCCAAATCATGAGACCAGAAGGGACTCCAGTGTGGCCACCCTCCCTAGGGGGTGCTTTCTCATGTTCCCTCTCTCCTCCTCTCTGTCTCTGGTGAATGTACATGCCCTATAAAAATTTTTTTTCAAAATAACAAAAAATATCACATAGTGGCTACTAAGGGAAACAATTATCTTTACTCTGGCAAGGCCATAGAAATCGATAGGAAGTACACACAGAACATCATCACCAAATTTTTAAAATATTTCTAAGGTACCCAATACCCAATACTGAGTAAAATACAAACTAACCAGAGAAGTTTCTCTTTCCATGTAGGTATTTATAAAATTATTATAATATAACAAATACAAGAATAAATAGTAACAAACATTTATATTATATTATTATTATTATACTGAGTTGCTTGTTAGTTGAACAATGTGGGATATTAAGAGAGGTTTCTCCCAGTCAAGATTAGTCTGACAGTCTAATCATCTATTTACCTATCTATCAGTTGATCCTGAACCAATTATTTTCAGGCCTTTATCTTTCTTTCCCTGCTCAGAATGGCTACTTATATATAAAATTAGATCTTAAATATAATAAATACTAAGTTTATTCAAGATATAAGAAAATCACAATTTTTCAGTCTGTGTTTAATCATGTTAACATTAGCCTTAAAGAAATATTCCTGAAGGACACATAATTTCAGGAGTTTTAAATTAAAATAAAGAAGTACTTGGTTATTTTTATTTTTCACATGAAAACGATGGAAGAAGAGATTACACATAGCCAAATATCTTCCTTAAAAATGCAATTTCTGGCTTTTTCTTAGATAGAAAAATCCAAATTTAAAGTCATATAAATTTTAGAAGTCCAATACAAAATTAAGGAAGCTCAAGTAGGGACAAGCAGGTAGTGTGGTGGTTAAGGTGCTAGACTCCCACATAGCCAGCCACAGTTCGAGTCCAGGACCTAGCAGCTTGCTTTCTTTCTCTCTTGCTCACTCTCTCATTTGCACTTTCTCTCTGTTTGGTGAATGCATGTGTCCTATAGCAAATTTAATAATAACAATAATGATAATGATAAATAAAATTAAATAATTCTTTTAAAAAATAAAGAAAACTCAAATAAGTTTTATGTAATATTCAGCCACGCATTCATTCAAAAAAATATTTGCTGTAGGTCTCTTATGTGCCTGAAACTGCTTTGAACTCTGGGGCTGCAGAGATGACTAAGACAGATCAAGTACTTGCCCTCAACAAGTTTGTATATTGGTGGTTTCAAAAAAGCACAATGATGGCACAGTGGCGTGCAACTCGACCCACATGGGAAGAGTCCCGAGTTTGTGTCCCAGGACCTCCAGGAGCATATCATACATGCCCAAGATCCTGGTAAGCTGAGGTTGGAGTGAAGATTAAGATGTGAAAATCCTGTTGAAGATGTCTTTCTATCCTCACTAAGAAATAAATAAATTTAAATTAAAAAAAAAAGAAAATATCACCATGGTAACAGTCAAAAAGGCAAATAAAATAACCAATTAAACTAATTGAAGAGCAAATTCAGAAGAAGGGCTTTGGGAATTGACTAGATTTATTCTTAAGTATCTAGGATAGTAAGTGACACAACCACAGCCATTGCATACAAATCAATGTCAGTGAGCATGTACAGAATCAAATTTATAAGATCACAAATGTCTCTTCAAACAAACATACATCAAGTGATCCAGTTAGGGCTTGGAAAACCATCAGTTATACATTTTATCTACAAGAAAGACAATGTTTAAATTCTAGTTTTCTATTAGCTACTTGAAGGAGGGCAAGAGAGATACCATAAGAGAATTGAGAGTGAAAGAGTGAGAGGTTGATTCTATCACTGGTGAATCTATCCCCACTTCATTCTTCAATCAGGTTGAACTATAGAAAGGATATTATCAGAGTAAGCCATCTTTGGAATTTTGTCTAGTGACTTGGAGCTTAAGGTGTTTAGAGAATAGCTCCAGCTGAAATAATGCCTTAAAACTTTTAATAAAATGTAGTACTGCCTTCTAAAAAGAAGACAAGCAGTAGTGAAGTAAGAACATTTACAGTCTTCTCTATCCATACTAAATTCTGTCTACTTCTGACTAGACCTTTAAAAGCATCTTTCTAAGTTTCCATGCAGCCACACTAATTGTAGATTTCTCAAAACCAACTAAAATAATAGAAACACAATAGACACAGACTCATAAAAGTCCTAAACCCTCTTAGTTTCTTTCTCCCCCACCCATGGATTTGAAGACTTAATATTTATTATTATTATTGCAAAAAATATCTAATATGAAATATATCTTAACACATTTTAAGTGTACAGCCCAGTATTGTTAATTCTATGCAAAATGTTGTATAACAGATTTCTAGAACCTTTTTGTCTTGCATAACTGAAAATATACACCCCTTGAATAGCAACTTGCCAATTCTCTTTCCCCCCATTCCAAGGATACCACTACTGTTCTTTCTGTTCTTATTAGTTTGACTATTGATATTTCATACAAATCAAATCATGAGTATTTGTCCTTCCATAAAACTAAATAATTTCCAGATAGCATAATGTCCTCAAGGTTGATTCGTGTTGTAGCAAATGACAAGAATTCACCTTCTTCTTGAATATATTTTATTGTGTGTGTGTGTGTGTTACATATAGCACACTTCCTTTCTATAGTCATCACTGATGAACACTTAGGTTGTTTCCACCTTTTGGGTACTATGGATAATACTGCAATGAGTATGGGAGTGCAAGTATCTCTTCAAGAACTTAATTTCAATTTTGTGGATAAATATCCATAGGTAAGAATGAAGAATTATCTAGCAGTTTAATTTTAAATTTAATGAAATAATTTACTTTGCAACAGAAAGAAAGAGAGGCAGGCATCCTCAAAAGGGTCTTGATTTCATGACCTACCCCTGGCTTCATTCGGCCTGGATCACAGACACTTGTGCACAAGCCCAGCATGTATGGAAGCCATATGATATGAACAAGGGATTTTTTCATGTGAGTCCAGCATTGCAGAGCATTGCAGAGCATTGCAGAGCATTGTATTCCATTGCACCACCAGCTGGCCCATTTATAACTTTAATTTATTTTAGGTTTTTGCTATAGGGTGCTGGCCAGAGAGGAGAGAAGTAGAGAGATAAAGAGACAAGGAATGTGAGAAATCAACCCCTAGGGAGGATGGTCATGCCACAATCTCTTCTCCATATTCCTCTCAGGATCTTGGGGAAACACACATACATATCCAGTGTTATTTTCAAGTCACTGGGTCCAGGACTTGAATCACAGCCATGTGAGAATTAAGCTGCCTTAACCACCATGCCACCTACTGACCCTTCTGCTTATAATTTTTAAAGAAACCTCCCTACTGTTTTCCATAATAGCTAATTTTTTTTAGAGGTATTTGCTCTAGGGTGCCTGTACTCACCAGAAAGACAGAGAGACAGAGAGGCAGAAAGTGAGAAATCACCCCCAGGGGGGATGGCCACACTGCAATCCGTTCTCCTCCATTCTCCTCTC